AGCAAAGAACTCTGTTCCAAGCTGCCTAATATCAATTATGTGCAAAAATGACGTGTCTTCAGAGAGCACTGCATGGCAACAGATGGAATGAGATTCTTCACGCGCAGGCAGTGCTGGGAGTGCCCCTGCAATGTGAACATATCCCACATGCACACAGTCCCTCTTTGTGCCTGAAACTCACTCTCTCCACCAGTGGCCTCCACCTGCCTCTTATTATTGTTACAACGTTCCCTCCATTAGTTATAGACCCCTCTTAAATAAGCTGTCCCTCCCTCTCTCATTTTGTGACGCACTCCCTCCCTGCTTGGTTCTGAACAAATGGAGTACCATTTAATGGTTCAGGTAGGAAAGCATTGAATTCAATGCTTTTCTATCTCAAAAAGCTGATAAGTGCATGTACGGCACTTGCCCCGCATGCGTTGAAGGTCATTCCATATTTTTCTATGAAGAGAATTTGATTTGACTTCTGCAAGAAGAAGGTGATGCTGTGCTATGAAAAAAGAGAGAGGAAGAAATGTAAGTGAACTTGGTACAGCACTGGATTCCAGGAAAGTTTTATACTTTTTAAAAGCAATTTTTAAGTGAAAACCAAAGAATGGCCTAATATATGTTTGTTTGTGTTACTCCTCCATTCATACTGTGTATGCAATATGAATCAGATACCTTGACAGTTTTGTGGGCTATTGTAGAAACATAGGATATTTTGCGTGCGGTTTTAATTTGCAGTGTGATTGGGCATTCTTCTGTGTACGAGTATATGCATTCATCACACTTTAACTTTTACCACAATTATTCTTTTCTTTTCTAACTATTTTTTTTAGGTTTTTGTATTCTGCATTTGAGAATCTAAAGCAGAGGTGCTGAAAAGATAGATATCTTCCATAGTGATTTAACTTTCTAAAGGCATGCAAAGCATCATGGGAGTTGTAGTTCTACAACATCTGGGGGTCTACATTTTGGGCACACCTGATATAGAGATTTTATAGCTGGAACAGCCTTTCCAATAATTTTCACTAGCTTGTGTATCGTCACAGGCTAATAATTTATGGAGTTTGGTAATTTACCACAGCTGTGATATCAACAGATGTTGCTGTTATTAACACACCAGCAAACCTCTTTATTCATGAACTATCTTAACATTTGTGCTTGTATGCTCTGACAACAGATAGTGCCATGCAATGTATTAGTTTGCTCTTTGTTGGTCTGCTGAAAGGCAGAAACATAATCTGGATAAAAACGAATACCGATTATGACATGGTAATAATTTACTATGAAAGTGTGCTAATGGAAAAATAAAATTAATATACAGTTTTGTATTTTTTTTTAATGGAAAATACTACACCAAAGCATTGTTATATATAGAATCAGTTTAGGAAATCGTGTTTGAGAATGGATTATTAAGTAATTGTGAGGTCTCGTTACAAAAATAATCCTAAAAGAATTTGTAAAGCTAGAAAGTCCCAAATATCTATTCTCCATTAATGCACATGAAAGAATCCTTTGGGAAACATAATTTTATTTCAATGAATTTGTTATAGAGCATGAAGTCATCCTTTATGTCTCTGTTAAACCTTAGCCCAAACAGCAGTGGAGAGCAACAGACCAGTGTCTTTGGACACTTAAAGGTAGCAGTGCTTGCGGTTTGAGATACAGTTGTTATGGTGGCCAGAGAATTTCTCTAATTTATTAATAGTTTATGCAAAAATAAACATTCATACTGAGTATGCAATATGAATCAAATACAGTTAGGAGCTGAAAGATTTGGACACTGTCATAAGTTTTGTTATACCAAAATAAATTCAAGTTACAGTTTAATAATGAATATAGGCTTAATGACGTACAGAGCTAAAATTCAGAAAATTGTGCCTGTGTCCTAATATTTCCATACTTAACTGTACCTATACATTTTTGGGAACATAGGAAATTGAACATTTTGGATTTTTTTTTAATTCAGATATTGCAACAACAAAAAGAAAAGTATACTTCTCTATAGGTCACTTATCCGTAAACTGTTGACTGTAAATGAATTTACTATTGTGACTGACTGACAGGAATTTAGCTAAAATAGAAGGATCGTCGTTGAAAAGCTTACCATGCAATATTTATTTGCTCTCTAACAGCCAGAAAGCATCATGATAGATATAATTGTACTACTGTAATAAAAAATGAAAAATAGAAACATGGAAAATAACAGTAACAAGAAATAATACATTATATTTTCTTGTTTACATAAGGTAAGCCTATATATTGAAATATCTTTAATTTTGGTATATGTGTATATATATATATATATATATATATATATATAATGTGTGTATATATATATATATATATATATATATATATATATATATGTAAAGGTATTGAATTTACTAATACTTTAAGATCTCACTCTTGCTAAATATAAACAAGTATTAATTATATATTACCATATATTTTTTACACTTTATTGGCAGATAACTGCTGTGTTATATATACAATATATTATAATATATACTTATGAAACTTTAAGGTGGGATGAAGATAATAGAAAACTATTGTGATAACACCTGGGAGGCAGAACAATTACAAAGGTATGGGTTTATTTCATACAGCATTTCATTAAAAAAAACAAAAAACATCCTGATTACCAACATTTATTAATGTTAATTTTATTTTTTAGAAATTTATCATAGTTGTCTTCACTGTAGATATTAATACAAAATACACAGATCTATCTCTATATATATATTCCAGACGTATTTACTGAAATATTATATATTTCCATAGTAAGAAGAAAGTCATTTAAACTCACATATTGTAATTCCTGTTAATTTAGGAAACCGCATGATCTCAGTCAAATCACTCTAGTGTTTTTCTTGTAATCTTTTGTATTCTATCTTATTCAAAAACTAGAAATTAGACACTCACACAAAAACGGGATTAAAAGTACATTACTTTTCTTAAAATGTATTTTATCATATTAATACAAAATTAAAGAAAATATATTCATAATTGAGCATTTTAAAACAAAGTTCCTGTTCCTCTTGAAAATAGTGCCCTATAACATTTTAGCCTCTTAGAATTTACTTGTGGAACAGAACACAAGAACATTATGCATAAGGTTGATTATAGCACAAGCAGTTCAATTACACCCCCTGCTAATAGATTGCTGAAGAATAGCTGTTTGGAGGTTTTTCGGCTTTGCAAGTAGATGGCCGTAATTACCTGGCATCCATCAGCGGCATCATCCCACTTTAATAAAGCATACATTTGAGGCATTTAAAGTACAAACACAAAAATAAAACTTTTCTTAATATATCTAAGAAAAGACTACGTGCAATCCCTGCTTTCAAGGTCACGAATAGGTTATTACTTTTAGGATAATGTGTGAGTAAAGGTGAGACTGTGAAAGATTTTACAGTATTTGGTATTAACCTATAGTCACGTAACTTCATTGCCAATGAAAAACCTAGTGTTAAAGGGATATTCCAAAAACATTTACAACTGTAATTCGTTTTTTGTTTTGGCCTCATACATTTACTGTATTTTGTTTGCACAAAAAACTATGTGCAGCCAGGTTGTGAATTAAAAGCAGTTTATTCAGTGTTGTTAAAGGCTGAGCTGTGTGCATAGATTTGATAAGGAAGTTGTAACGGACTCACCCGTACTCCGACAGAGTACCCTCCATTGATGGACACTTCCTAGCTTGTGCCGAGGACCACAAGCACCGCACCGGACACCACAACCACCGCAGACTCCACAACCGCCGTAGCTTAACTGGAGTCTCGCCATCTTCCTTCCACCCTGGATCAGCCACTGTCCTCCAGGGCCATGTGGGAAAGACCTCTCCTCCAGGAGAGCGTAACAGGAACAGCTCTTACAAGAGCTAAGTGATTAAAGCTCAGGGGAGTACAAGTATAGCAATCCCCAGTGTGAATATAGGTGTCCCTTCCAATCACGAGACAAGACTACGTGTTGAGGGTCAAGAAGATCTTTTTTATTCAGCTCTTTTATTCAGAAAGCACCAAAGGGCTTTCTTTTGTGCAAGTTTTACACACAAAGTACCACCCACATGGTCTTGTGGAATCAAACACGTACAATACGGTAAAACACTCCCATTAATTCCAGCAAAATCCTTCCCTCTGCCTGTGATAGAATTACTGTACACAATGGGTTAATGTAATTATCACAGGCAGGAAAATACAGTTTTTATACAATTCTTATAACTTCTAAAATATACATACATATTATTAATCAGCACACTTCAAATATAAACATATCCAAAAATCAGACAATATCCTTCAGGGGTTAAAAAGTTAGTTGGAAGTCCTTTTTGACCGACTGCAAGCATGCTTTCCTGCCCAAAACAGTTCCATAGATTTTGGCTGTGCAGCCAGCCCTGGAGATAATTGGCTTAAATGGGTGTGGTAACTTCATTATCTCCAGGTAAAAGGAATATCTCCATTTACAACAACAGTAAAAATACATAATTCCTATTACACTGAACAGAACCCCCACATTCAACATATCCCCAGATAGCTTGGATCTGAGCGCTCAATATATCCGAACAGCGCTCAGATCCCACTAACAGAATAAAATCGCCATGGGGTTAAAGTTTAGCAAGGGCTGATGAGAGATTGAGGAGGGACAAAGCAGCCAGTCCCTGGGACAACGCCCTGCTGGAGAAACAATAGACAGGAAAATGGAGGAGGGCCAGAGGCACATTTTCTCAGGGAATTAAAGGGGTAGACAAAGTGTGTTTCAAAATCCAATAAGCCCAAATAATGTTTTTAAAGGGCACAATCTCCCAGGAGCCATAGTCACAAGGCAAGAGACTGGCAAGCAGGCCTTTCCAAGACCAAGTAGCGAAGGGCACTTCATCACAGAAGTATTTTTAAAGTGAGGGTGTTTGGCAAAGGAGGAGTGCATATGGTGTATAGTGATGTCCCGAACGGTTCACCGAACGGTTCGCCACGGACTCATCATTGACTAAACTTTGACCCTGTACCTCACAGTCAGCAGACACATTCCAGCCAATCAGCAGCAGACCCTCCCTCCCAGACCTTCCCACCTCCTGGACTCACTAAGCTCACTAAGAATGCAGCTTCACAATGAATGTAAAATGGATGCTGTCCAGGAGGTGGGAGGGTCTGGGAGGGAGGGTCTGCTGCTGATTGGCTGGAATGTGTCTACTGACTGTGAGGTACAGGGTCAAAGTTTACTCAATGATGAGTCCGTGGCGAACCATTCGGCGAACCGTTCGGGACATCACTAATGGTGTACCATTCTGCAAAACCTTTTTTTTTGTGCAAAAGCTATTAAGATTTTAACATGCGAAACAAACAAAAAAAATCCAATATACTAGTGTGGCCAAAACCAATCAAATTAATGTGGTATACTTAGAGATAAAATGTATACTTATATCCATATGATGGCACACAAGTTAAAGGCACTTACTCTCCCCAATATCAAATCAGAGAATCATCAGCAATAGCTGCTTCGTACAAATAAAAGATATGTTACAACAGATACCACCGGACAGATTAATATTGATGTTGATTTTAATGTTTGAACCACATATACTAGTCTCAAAATAGTTCAAATGATTCCAAGTACACCCCCTTTTGGGTTGGGAAATGGAATTAATAAATACGTTTCTTAAGTTCAATAAATGTCAATCAAATATCTGTATTACCTGCTCAGTGATTTTTCTGCACTTTTTTGTTCCAATCAGAACAAAATACTTCCTATTTAAATTGGGAGAAACATCAGTTGGTTCTCCTCTGATGAGCTACCACTGGCAAAATGCACTTTAGGGGCTCAAATAACTTTTCCTCCATCTACTCTGATATCATTAGGTACCTGATGTGACATAGATTTCTAGTGCGATTACGGGAAGTCATTAAACTACATTGTTTCTCATGTTATGCTTTGGCTAATATGCCATCCCAATTGAGTAGTTATTGGAATTAAATAGCTTCATTACCACTAGCCATGAGGATCTAATTTATTTGGTATAACTTTTTGGTGGGTTTCACATTAGTGTGGTGCCCTTGAAGGCACATATAAGGTATATGCAAAAAGGAAGAAATAGGCGCTCGCTAAATAAACTATATATAGGCAGCAGTGAACCGGCAGGAATTCCCAAAACCCGCTAACAGTGACCAAATTATAAAAAGTGACGTGGTTTACCACTTTGTTTTTATAACATATAAGGTATATGTAGAATTATATTTTTTCCCTTGGTTACCAATTATTGGGACAATTTTTTCAGTCATGTCAAGAAACCACCATTTAGTTGTTAATCCGTTTAGCTGTTTCTTTTGCTACAAGGTCAGACTGTAAGCTCCAATATGTACTCTTTTCAGTTAACTACTTTACTTATCTTTGTTACTTAATTTGATACAGTTCCAATTGACGGCCTATGAATATTTTTCTATGTGCACACAGCCTTCACTTATGATCTGGCTGAAATTGATTTAGGTACTACATACACATATACTATATTTATAGTTATTACTTTATACTTAGGGGTTATCCCCCAATGTGTTGGTGTTTGTAACATTACCTCCATTCTCCCCTGTGTGTCATATAGTTTTAGAAGCTTCTCAATGAGAAACCTCTAACAGGCTATTTACTAGCAAAGAGACTGTAAGTCTCTTCCGGGGGAAAAAAATGCATGTATTCATGAGGGTATATCTACTAAATAGTGACTTTAAAGATCATTTTTTTTTTTATTTTAGTATGGAGTGGTCCTTTAAGAGGAATTACCAAAGAACTGTAAATATGTGTAATGCTAATTTAAGTATTACAACAGAACTGTAATTTCTCAGAAAAATATACCACTGGATAAAAAATTCAAAAGCATCTATAACTTATTAATATTACTATTACAATATTATTATTATTATTATTATTATTATTATTATTTGAAGAGTGATGCTCCATTTTCTTTTAAAATGTATAGTAAATATTTGTGAATTGGTGTCACAATGCAGTCACATACAGGGCACACATTTAAAATGAGGAAAACATTATTTAATTTTTTCCTCTTCCACTAACTGTTAAAGAAAATTAATAAAGCTCTGGGCCCTGACTGTATTCACCCACGAGTACTTAAGGAGCTAAGTGGGGAAATAAGTGAACCTCTGTATTTAATTTTTCAAGATTCTTTTGTTTCAGATATTGTACCGGAGGATTGGAGGAAGGTAGATGTTGTTCATATATTTAAAAAGGGTTCAAAATCCTTGCCTGGAAATTATAGACCTGTGAGCTTAATTTTTGTGGCTGGAGAAGAATTTGAAAGGTTATTAAGGGATAATATTCAAGAAATCATTGGGAAGAACTGTATTGGCAATAATCAGCATGGTTTTCTGAAACATGGGTCATGTCAAACTAACCTAATTGCATTCTACAAAGAACTAAGTAGAAGAATAGATCAGGATGTTGCAGTGGATGTGATCTACTTGGATTTTGCCAAGGCATTTGATACGGTTCCTCACAATAGGTTAGTCTTCAAACCAAAAGAAATTGGTCTAGATGAATATTCTTGTTGTTGGGTAGAACATTGGCTTAAGGATAGAGAGTTGTCATTAATGCTCTTGATATTCCAATTATCTCCAATTTTTATGTTTCACAGTTTAGCAATGATCTGTTTTCTTCTCCTATTTATTTCCTCAGTCTCCCTCAGTATACAAATCTCTCCTTACACCCACTTCACTCATCCCCCCATCCACATTTACATATGCCCTTCTCTGCTACACTCCCCCCTTCTCTCATCTTATGCCTTACACTCATTTTTCTACTTTCTCACTCCAACCCACAATCGATCTCATCCTAGATCCCATGCATACAAAACCCATTCACACCTCCTGTTACTTTCTCTCCTCCTACTTCTAGCAGCTGGTGATGTCTCTCCCAATCCAGGGTCCTTCACCTTCTCTACACAGAGTAAGACAACCAGAAACCCCACAAACCTCATCACAATACCCTGCCCTTTAACCTCACTTACCAAAATTAATTGTGCACTCTCTAATGCCCGCTCCATCTGCAGTAATTTAAAATCAACAACCATACACAACTTTTTAATCTCAAACTTACTCATACTGCTTGCACTTACAGAGACCTGGCTGTCCCCCTCTGATAGCGCTACTCCTGCCTCTTTATGTTTTGGTGGGCTACAATTCTCTCACACTCCCAGACTCAACTGTAAAGGAGGCGGCGTAGGCATCCTTCTCTCCCCTCAATGTACATTTCAACCAATGATAACTCCCCCTGCCCTATCCTTTTCTTCTTTTGAAGTTCACACTGCCCACCTATTTAAACCCACTCCTTTAAGAATTGCTAACATCTACAGCCCCCCTGGTAATCCTAGACTATTCATTGAGCACTTTTCCTCCTGGCTTCCCCACTTCCTCTCATCTAGCACTCCTTCCCTTATACTTGGAGATTTCAATATCCCAACCAATAACCCCAATTGCACTGATGCCTCTCGTCTGCTCTCTGTAACCTCCTCCTGTGGCCTTACACAATGCTCCAATTTAGCAACCCATACAGCAGGAAACACTCTTGATCTTGCCTTTACCAACCTCTGTACTGCCTCTAATCTCTCCAATATTCCTTTTCCTCTATCTGCCACCATCTGCTGACTTTTTACATTTGCATACCTAAGACCCAGTTGACACCACCGTCTGAACATCAGTCTCACAAAAACCTCCAATGTCTTGACCTAGAGCATTTCTCCACTAATCTCCAAATTCTCCTTTTACCTATCTCAAACCTCACCTGTCCTAGTTCTGCAACCTCCTTCTACAATTCCACCCTCTCCTCTCAACTAGACATCATGGCACCTTGTACATTTAAATGCCGCAGGCCCCCCCAACAACAACCCTGGCACACCAAGCTCACTTGATACCTCCAAAATTGCTCCAGAACTGCTGAACGTTGTTGGAGAAAGTCTCACTGTGCATCTGACTTTCTCCATTATAAATTTATGCTGAGCTCATACAGCTTGGCTCTTTCCTCTGCAAAAGTTAATTATTTCAATACCCTCATAACCACACTCTCCCGCGAACCCAAACAACTATTTCACACATTTAACTCTCTTCTTTGCCCTGCTGTTCCTCCTCCACCTACTAACTTGACCGCCTCAGACTTTGCAACTCACTTCACTGACAAGATCTCTACAATCAGAGAAGAGATCTCTCATCTTTCTTCTTCCCCTTACAATACTTCCCCTAACTTCACTCCCTCTGTTGTTCTATATTCATTTGCACCCGCTACATTGGAAGAGGTTTCTGCTCTGCTCCAGTCCTCCCGCCCCACCACCTGCTCCCTAGATCCAATTCCCTTGTATCTCATCCGTACTCTGTCTTCTTCTCTTTCTCCACCTCTCAATCTCTCTCTCTCCTCTGGTATATTTCCATTGTCCTTCAAACATGCAACTGTAACTCCAATTCTAAAGAAGCCCAAGCTTGACCCTAACTCCCCATTTAACTATCGTCCTATCTCACTACTGCCTTTTGCATCCAAGTTCCTTGAAAAAATTGTGTATGCGAGATTGACAGACTTCCTAGAGTCCAACTCTCTGCTAGACCCGCTTCAGTCTGGTTTCCGCGCTAAGCACTCTGTGGAAACGGCACTGACCAAAGTATCCAATGATCTACTCGCTGCAAAATCTCGTGGTCACTACTCTATCCTAATTCTCCTTGACCTGTCTGCGGCTTTTGATACTGTTGATCATCAACAGCTTCTTCTCATCCTCCGCAATATCGGTCTACAAGATATTGCTCTCTCCTGGTGCTCCTCCTACCTCTCCCAGCGCTCTTTCAGTGTTTCTTTCTCTGGCTCTGCTTCTTCTCCCCAACTCCTCCCTGTTGGTGTCCCCCAAGGTTCAGTCCTTGTTCCCCTACTGTTCTCCATCTATACTGCCTCCCTTGGTAAACTCATTAGCTCCTTTGGCTTCCAATATCATTTCTATGCAGATGACACGCAAATCTACCGGTTCTCTCCTGATCTCTCCCCGTCCCTCTTGATTAGTGTCTCTGACTGCCTCTCTGCTGTTTCTAACTGGATGGCTGCCCACTTCCTTAAACTAAACTTGACCAAAACTGAAATGCTGGGCTTTCCTCCCTCAAGTGTTGTAACTCCTGTGTCTGTCTCCCTCCAAGTCAACGGTGCTACCATCAGCTC